GTTGCAACTTTTCCTATCCAGCAAAGATGTTTAAAAAAACCACCTGCTGAAGACATATTAACAGTTGGTTTCAACTAGATGAATTTTCTCGGCAACCGGATAAGTCAAAGCAGCGTCATCAAAGCAAAAACTATAATAGATCGAGTCCAATCGCCAAAACAAACACGCGACGCTAAGAAAAATTCATCAATGCCAAAACCACGGACCGTCGTCGTTGTTTATTTTAAAAATCCCATTTCGCATTTCGCAGTCTGGAAACAACTCAAATGAACGAGGAAATCAATGTCTGCTAGACTTTGTAAATGTTTGTTATCGCTCAACACCTCGTTCTCAGTCAATTACTGCTATCGAATGTACCGGAATTTGAAAGAGAAGCGGTGGCAGCTGCAAATAATGGTTTCACTGGGTCTACAATCTATCTCATGTACGTTGTGAACAACCCTTGACCAGTCGGCATCCGAAACCAAGATGTGCAGGAATATTGTTTACTGTGATGAGATTAGAAAGGAGCACAGAAAATTGCATGGATGGTTATTTTGTTCAATTCAATATTGAACAAAATAACTGCTACTGCTAGAACCTGCAACAGACAGAAGCGATGAAGAAATGTTCGTTATCTGTAGTGTAAACATATCAAATGGTACAAGTCATTATGCAAGGAAAAATTAAATTAATGAGACGAAACTCTGAGGAACTTTGGGGAGTCGTTTGGCGGCAGTAACAACCAACTGTTTAGACTTGATAATTGCCAACCTTCGAAATGGAGGGGGCACATAAAGGAGAAAATTTACAGTTACTGACTTGTGCCATTTCTTCATCACTCAGACGAGACATATACGAGTTAGACATATCCCCATCTCCCGTTTCTTTTATGTATTAACCAATTTCCTTCTGCATCCTGCCTTTAATGAAAAGAACTATTTCTTCTCCACTTCTTTTGTTGCATCCAAAATTAAAAACCATTTACGTTATATAATTTTCACGGAAACCTAAGGTGTATTTTTATGCAGAAACTTGCTCCTAATATGTCAAAAATTTTCTAACAACACCACACCGTCACTTTTATAAACAGTTCAGCACACAAACCTCAGACTTCTCGACTAAACTTCGTAAATCCTAACAAACCATATCTGCATCGGATGCGATTTGTTGGAAATATGATTGAATGGAGGAACGAAGAGAGCAGGGCAAGGATAAAAATAGCCCTTACGCTGATCTGAACTCGTAGTTCCTACATAAACAACATACATGGGGTGGGTGGGGCAAGGCGGCCCTCTGGGGCAACAAGGCCCTCAAAAATTGTACCTTTTTAGACCTTTGCGTACTACCAAGGGTAAAATCTATTTTTTTAGCCTAAAGCCAGAGCATTCGAAAATCTTATAAATACTAATAACAAATTTATTAATAGATAGAAAAATAGTTACTAATCAGTTACTTTCTTTAATTAAATACTTTTTAATAATTAATTATAAACATTATATACGACATTATAAATCGAATATACAAATTCGATTCGCTAGTATCGCCGATCTTATATGTTTATCGCAGCTCCATGGAGTAACTAATAGTTTTAGTTAGTTTTGCTTAGTTTTGAGCAATACAAGTCAAAATATTTAGTCCTCCATCGACTAATATTAGGAAATCTCATTCAATTAGGCAACTCAGTGCAAGGCTTTGAGGTATTGCATGTAACATTTAATTTATCCAAGTTTGACGCTCAAAGAGGAAGTTACAGTTTAGTGGGACGACAAGATGGTTATTAACAACTGCGTAACCTGCATATTATTTTTACACTCATACTATGCCCGAATTTTTTTAATTAAACCAATTTGTGCTGTAGTGTGATACTCTAAGTATATACCAAGATTGAGGTTGGAGTAAATGTTTCCTATTAGAAATGTTTTATGAATATTTGGTTCCAAGTTCCAGTATATGAACTTTACTTGGGCTCTCGAGATGAAGACGAGGGAAGTATCCAAAAATTTGCAATTATCTTATCAGAAATATTTCTGACTGCATCCCAGGCGTTTCAATTCAATAACTATTTAACTAATAACTTATAAGACCAAAACACTATCCCATCTACATATGAGGGATTGGAAAGATGAAATCCTTCGGATTGTCGAAGTTACAAGGATAACTATTTTATCATTAAAAAGGTAATAAAAAAGCTATTCAAACTTCCAACATTTTCGTAAATCCTAAAATAAAATATTTCCTTTGCCAAAGATAACTTTAACAAAAAACTTAATTTTTACGGGATCCGAATGTTGAGAGTCGAATTTAAACTCACTCGCTCTTCTTTCGAGTTCATTTTTTTGCATAATCATTTTTTTGTCTCTTATAATTATGACACTAGTTTTATGTTGATTTTGAGTGTTGAAGTTAAGCAAAATTTAATAAAAAATGGTATAAATTCCTTAAATATTCAAGAAGTACTTATTTAGATTTTGATTCCCAATATATGGCAAACGAAAGTTGGGGAAATGGCAATAAGTTCCAGACAAGACAATTAAGATGTTACTTACCTGAACAGACTCGTCCTCATTTTCCGTCGATTCTTCTTGCCGCTCGTCCTCCTCTTCCAAATCTCTAACGGGTGAAGCACTTTTTATCATAACGACAATGTTTTCTTCGTCGGCGTTCAAAAAGTGACCGCACTGTGAAGCTACACTCTTAAACATCACGTTACGTCTCTCTAAATCATCTTGATCGGTGTTAAAGAGAAAGTTATTTTCTTCCTTCGATTTAGAAGTCATATTAATGAGGATGCAGCGTTTATAGAAAATATCGATAGATCTGGATTGCTTCAAAACCTGAAATTAAACGGGTAAAATTCAAACACAAGATATTATTTTTTGGTTAGTTTTATACCTTAAGGAATAATGTAAATAATAATACAAACTTAAATGACAACCCAAGCAATATCATCAATCAAGAAATTCCAAGAAATTCTATATATATATAATTCCGTATAATTTGGATCCTTATATATGTATATATATATATATATATATATATATATATATATATATATATATATATATATATATATATATCATTTACTATTAATAAATTTATATATTATTATTTCTATGTAACCTCAAGTCAATTAGAAGCAGTTTTTAAGAGTGTTTGTTGTATATTAAGGTGATTAAACTTTACATATAATTACTTTTGTTTCTTCTGCATGCTTCTTTCATTAACAAACAACAAATAAGGAAAAACCATCATATTCTGGAGGAAAGGAGATATCATAAATTAGTACAAAAATGAGTGAAGGCAGGAAAATTAATAGACATACTAAATTCGCAGGAAAATAGTGACAATCAAAGCAATACAAAAGTGTTTTTTACAAAAACTATACTACATGCCATGAACACTCTAGTTAAGTTTGCATAGCAATTGACACGAATTTAAGATTCTGTAAGAACAGCATTTTGACACCTTCGTTTGTTTTCGAATTATTTTCAAATGTTAAATTTTTCGCTCAAAATATTTTAAATGTGTCTCAATAAATCTATAATTTATTTACACATTCAATAAATCCTTTTGCTTTCGCAATCAGTAACGAAGTTGTAGAAATTCATATACATATATAGAAAAATTATTAATATACGCTTTGAAGTCTACGCGGTGTGATATAAAACCTATTTTTCGAAGGTGACGGATTCTCCTAACCTCTCGAAATTTATTGCGACAGAGGTGTACAGGATGTTCAACACTTAGTGAATCAAAGTCGACCCATCGATAGAGTTCAAGAAACCAAATTTGATTTGATTGATTTTGTTTCCATAATACGTAACACATAACTTTTAAATCATATTTTAGTTTTACCCAATCGGATCTAATTGAAAATTAATTAATTTTCAATAGCTATACAAATTACTGATAGGTATTGCTGAAAAAGACTTAATTTGCGTTGAAGGCAGCAACTTCATATGCATGCTGCGAAACATTTTAATCTGAAATTAACCAAATATTCATTTTCATTTAGTTAAATGCAGAAATTGATTTAAAAGTTTCTTTTTTGTGACTGAGTAAGGTATCCTTAATGGACTTATCTTGGTAGTTCCGGCGCATTCGCCAATTTAAATATGTGGGTACCCTAGAATACAAATTGTAATATAAAATTTAATTTCCTTAAAACACAGTGTGAAAAGTTTTGAAACAAAAATTACCCTATTACCCAAAAATGTTTTTGGGAAGAAACAAAACAAAAAAAACAAAAATAGTAGCAAGGCCCAAGTTTAATTGAATGAAGCTAAATAGAGGTTAGAATATACAAACCGGACTTCGGTAACTACCGGTTTATATTTAATGTATCGCGACTTTGCATGGATCCTTAAAAACTTGAAATCCTCTAATGAACCTTTGGCTAGACGTTATTTGTATTTATTTACCTTCACAATATTTTTTAACATTAAACTCCCGTGAGTGACAATACACGTGCTATGTATATCGATCTTCCTCACTGTAACTGCGCACTGCTACGCTGCCAGATTTATAAATTTCTTGATCATTAGGGGACTTTCCCAAAACTGTTTTTTTTTTTGCGATCGCAAAAATGTAAAACTTTCTAATGCGAATCTATTTTCTTTTACAGAATAAACAACTTCTTGGAATATGTCGTGAATGTAGATCTAAAAAGATAACAAAAACAATATATTGAGGAATATAAATTATCCCTGCTTGACTTCTTTAAAAATCAATTTACACGCCACCGTTAATTTTCTTGCTTGATCCAAGTATCAAATTTTTCGAAATTGAAGACGTAACAGTGCATTTGTTGAAAAACGATAAATAAATGATGTAGGGAGTTTCGCCACCTATCTATATTCAGACAAACAGATAAATTGTAATGTAAATAGCAGGATTAGTATTGTGAAAGTACTCTCGTACTTAATTGGCAATATTATCACGTGTTTGTTATTGATAAATAGGTGTTGGTTATGTGTCGAAATAAGTATGGAACACCAGCGAAGTAGTCATTTTAACTAATTAATAAAATAATGCCTATGGAATTAGAAAATCGACATCGGCGGTAGCGAATAGTACATAGGATTTCAGAATAGATTTTGAACAAATTATGCGTATTTTTTACGCGACATAGGCATGAATTTTTCAATATTATCCAACATCCTAGGGTAGACAACAATTTGAAACAATATATCATTTTGGCAGTTGAGAATTAAGGCTCGTTCTCTGTAGCTGACATATTTGCACAAAATGTCTTGCACCAAAGGATGCACTAATATGGTGTTGTAGAAAATATAGATGGGAAATCATTATTAGACGGTTAAAATGTGCCTTACTACGCTCCTGCATATCTTTTCCCCAAGTAAGGTTATGTAGTGACAGTGACAGTGATTGCCACTTGTGTCAACAACGCTGTGTGTTATTAGTCATTAGTTTATTATAATTTGGAATTGTTTCCTAAATTTACCAAAAAGTTTTATAATATTCGAGATCAAATCTTCAGATATAGAATGAAAATGCCCCCTACTGAAAATCAAAGTTCGCGTTTGCTTTCGACGGAAGAAAATCTGCAAGTGTTTAAACTCTTGGGAAATCGTTGCCAAACAATGTGTACTACTGTTGTACAAGTTTTTACTACTCAGCCACCCCATCACTCCCAATGGTTCAAGAAAGACACGGGTATTCTGTGTTTTGTGAAAGATAATATCCGAAAAAATTACTTTTTCCGATTATTCTGTCTGCGTAGCAACGCTTTGATTTGGCAACACGAAATGTATAACAACATGGAATACATGGAGTATGCACCATACCTTCATGTATTTGAAGGTGAGGAGTATATAGTTGCCTTTAATTTTGTCAGTCAAGATGAAGCGTCAGAGTTTAAAGATATAGTTGGACAAAAAATACTAATTAGGAAAAGAAGGGAGGAAAAGAAAGTCAAACATATGAGTCAGTCACAGACCTTAAGGCTTCCCGCTTCCAATGATATCTACAAAAAGAGTCCAAATCCTGAGGCGAAGTTAGCCAAACGTAGAAGAAACATCACCAAAGCTGATATTAGTACCCCTATGAATTTTCAACATATTTCGCATGTAGGTTGGAGTCCGGAATCCGGATATGATATAAATAGTGAAGATGAACAGCTAAAAAAATTTTTTGAAAAGGTTAGATATAATACATTACCTATTATCAAACATTTGTAGTTGACATATTTTGTATCGCTGGGTATACATTATAGGCAGGTGTTTCTGAAAAGCAACTTCAGGATAAGGACACTAGGGAATTTATCTATGATTTTATTAATAAACATGGTGGCCTCGCTCGGTTAGAAGATCCTAATACACACTTAAGTGATGGTGGTCCACCTCCTGCTGTTCCTCCAAGGGGTCCTATTAGACAGACTAGAGCTGCGCCTCCACCTCCACCAGTTTTACATAGAGTTGATAGCCCCAGAGTACATTCAGGTATTTTAATTTCTAACCGTTAAATTGGGAAGTTTTAAAGTAGGCTAAAGTATTTGAGTTTACCCAAACCAAAGTATTATTGCTTTTTCCTCCTTTTTAGATGCTCTGCCTAGAAAGCCACGACCGCCTTCACCGCCCAAAACTGTGCCAAACAATTTTACTGCTGCACCACCACCACCTCCACCTCCCCCACCTCCACCGATGGATATACCCGTTGCGCCATCTATAGATATTAATGGTCATGCACCTACTCCTCCACCTCCTATGATCAACAATGCCGCTCTGATGGAAAGTATTAGAAATGGTGCTAGTCTAAAGGTTTGTAACCTGCTCAATGTTTACAGAATACTTAAAAATTAATTTCAGCCAGTTGAAGGAAAAATTACGCCACCGGAGGATGAGGCTCGTGGCGATTTGTTAAGTGAAATTCGCAAGGGTATAAAATTAAAACCAGCGGATGAAAGAGAAATTAAACCCACTATGAACACCTCATTAAAAGAGTCTGCCCCAGGAAATGATTTGGCTACTGCTTTAGCGAAAGCTCTAGCTGGTATGTATAACAATGGTTAAAATATTGTGAAAAAATTACAAGGTATAAATTTTCAAACATACCTCCACTATCTTTTTTTAAGTAAAAAATACATAAGTAATTGTAATTGTTACAAATGACTGATATTAAAATTCAGCGTTCTCAAGCTTAAAGCCATTACTAAAAAAAATTAAAAAAATATCTTTACCCATTTGTGCCGTTTAAATTCTATTCTAACATTTTTTTTGTGATAAATAATATCTCGTTTTTCCTCTTTAATAAGGTTAAATCATAGTGATTCAACAGCTGTCAATATGTCACTTATGTTTGAAAAAATTAAATCCTACTATAGTGTTTTAGACATTCTTTTTGGTCTTTGAATTTGGGGAAACTCTAGGACACTTCTTTAAAAAATTCCATTGCGAATGTATTTCTGGATCTTTTATAATTTAGTTAAAACCTGAAAATGTCAAATATAACGTGAATTTTTAATTTTTCAGTGGAATATTGTCGGCCTTGTTGATACATTTTCTGAATCTCTGTGTTTCCGATCAAGTCCAATTTTAAACACTTGGTAGAGTCTAATAATTTAATACAATAATTACTTCTCAAAAATCATTAAGAAATCAATTACAATCAATCACAACAGACCATTTTCAGCACAGTAAATGGTTCTTATACAAAAATCACTAACTCATCTAAAAAAGTATACACGTCATTCAATAAGTGACAGTTTCATTACTTAGTTATTTCACAGTTACACCAGTTAAGAAGTTTTGCAGTCCATCATTACAGAATTGATCAAAATAATATTACAATGCCCTTGATAATTCCAGAGGAGCTATAAAACAACTATAATTTTCGCATAAAAAAACTCCCCCACTCCCTTAGATTGTTTATGGTGTAATGTGAGTCAAAACAACACACAAAAAGGGGTGTTAAGTTTTGTACCATGTAGGGGATAAATAGTCTCATTATATTTGCAGAAAGCATCGTCATCCTGTTGGACATTACGAAAAAATAAGCTCTTTTTATCCGATTCACTTGTTTTTTTGATGGTATGATGTCATTTCAATAACAACCTGTATGTTGATTAGTTGTTTGTGGGGTCTGGTTTATTTTGTATATGGCTAAGACGTTCAAAGATTTACCCAATATCAGGGTACATAAACTTGAACAATTTCAAGAAGTTGATTGTGGTTATTTACATTCTTTATTTTATTGTGCAGAAAGAAGCAAAGCTATACATTCCGAAGATGACGACGACGATGATGATTCGGCTAGTTGGAATGATGATGAATGGGAAGATTAACACGCCCAGAGCCACTTATACATATTTTTTTATAGTAACCCTATAATTACCCTAGAAGCCTAGCAGTCGATGCGTTTTTAAGGGCTTTAGTATGAAAATTCTATTAAATGCAAGCAGTGGCGCCCTACCATTGTGATATTTACTATAATTGAATGTTAAATAGTGGCAAATGTATTACATGTAAATAACACAAACGGTTTTTCGTTGGGATTTGGGACTGTGTAGGATTAGCATTTTATGATGCGTGCGCACTTGATTTTGAAGAAATAGAAAGCAATACAACCCAAAATGCGTGCCAAAGTGATGTGCTTTTTGGAAAAATCTTTTTTATTAGAGTAGGAAAAGTGTCGTCGTGTTCTTGGTGCTAAGAAACATAACAAACGCTAACAATAGTCATGGTAATTATTATTTTTTTAATTTGTAGCGTTTATTTTCACCTTAGTGTTATCTTAAGATGTAAGCCTTCCCTGTAAACAACACGTTATATTGCAGATAAAATACATATATACTGTGTTAACCATTTTTTAAACATAATTAAAAGAGTTGGCAGTTCCTCTTTTGCTGTAATTTAACTAGACTGATAAAATTACTCCTGATGGGTCATTTTCAGGGACATGAGATTGAAATTTGAAATAAAAAACTTTATGATCTTGAATATCAAGACATTTATGATACTGAATACAAATCAAATGTCGGTACAAAGAACTGGTAACTACAGGTAAACAGTCAGAATGTTTAAATATTGGATATAAGCATAGGAAAAAAGTTGTATATAACATACACCGTCACAACAACAATAACTAATTTACCTTCGTCTAAAACAGGCACATACACCTTACTTTTTTTATGTGCTAGATGTTTGCATCAACTCAACCAGAACTTGTCAACCAAACAGGTAACAGTCTCGAAACTAATTATCACATCCGTTATTGCTTATACCATAAAGTAACAAAACATTTACATGAATCAACATTGGCTTGAAGTAACTTCTGTAAATCTTTGCGCAATTTTTCTCGCCAAAGATGAACCAGTCATTCGTAAAATTCAAAAATTTATTTAAAAAGCTGAGCAACTTGAAAATATCAGCAAATATTTACTATAAATAGAAGATTTCTATCAGGTATAATGGAAGATATATCAATCTCTTTTGTTATGTGGAGAGAGCAAAACCGTTAGGCAGTGTTAACCTGAGAACTGTTTGGTTTAGTCTACATAACTTAAACACCTCCAGTACCTAAGGCCTATTTGCAAATTTAACGTATCCGACAATATGGCCCAAATTTGATAGCTTCATTTACGAAGGGAGGATGCAATAAAAATTTTGAATAAAGGAAACGAAAAAAAAAATTATTTAATCCTAGGCCATTCAAAAAATTGTTTGGAAAACTTAAGGAAATAAATTTTATCTCTGTGGAACAAAATTATTAATATTTTCACTTGTGGATTAGATAATGCGTAATGCACCTTGTTTGCTAGAGACTATGACATAAAAATGATATGCCCCGCATGTAGTTTTCTTAACAAAATCCATGCACCAACTGATTTCGGCTCTTCAGAAATTACTTCAACCCAAGAGTCAACAGCAACAGCGCAATAAAAATCTTATTTACAAAAATTCAAATAATATATAATACATATAGAACATACTCTATGTATAGTAGATACACAACAAGAAGAAGCTTATACGCCATTTTATGGGTCGACAAATTTACCTACAAATATCACGACAGCGAATTGCTAAAATACGACTCTAACTTATATAACATCACATTCAAGCACTGCTCTAAGACACAAGAAATTCACTTTGTTTTTACTAAAACTTTCGGTTTCTTCGTTGCACGGGTTTATCAATACAATTTTTCCTAATTTTAAATAATTACGCTTTGAAAAGCAATAGCGGTGGTTTCTCTCTGCTGATATGGTGTTTCGGAAAACAAACTTAAAAACATAAATATTATTAAAACGGACGCCATTGTTTGAAAATCTCATCACCCACAAAAATGCAATGTGTTTATGACGCGATATTTCCACACTTTTTGTCAATTTAGAAAAACTGTAACGACTGTGTCTTCATTCAAAATTTTTACTTCTTATTGTAGTTTTCTGCAAATTATGTAAACCAAAAACCATAGGACAACATTTTTTAAATACTTTTATTCTATATACAACAACAAAAAAACATTAAAATGTTACAACTAAAAAAAGCCGGTTAAAACAAAAAATAAGAATACTAAAACAGTCTACACGAACCATCAGTAATGATACTGTGATGTACAAGAATTAACAATAAATTTGTTGCTGACTTGTTACATATTTGTACTAGCAATTTGATTTTTTGCTTTCAAGATTTTGCTCGTCCACATCCATTCTCGTCAGTTTTAAAAACTTTAATAACACGTAACATCAATAAAAAATACTAGCAATGAAAAACAATTTTTTAATTTAAAACCCAGCGCGATTGCATTGTGCAATTTGTAAAATGTTGGTTTTTATTAAAGCTCCGATAGCTACATTAACTAAATATTATAATACAATAATTTTGAAATTTGTTTACAGAATACTATTCCCAGTAGTATTTGAAAGTAAAAATTTAAAACAGATTGTTTTTTCAAAAATTAATATTCAAGTAATTTTGTGCAAGATTTTGAAAAACTAATAATAAAAAGTTATAGCGGAGAAACTTTCACGGCGTAATCAGCAGATAAAAAAAAATAAAGAAAATATTCACATAATAAATGGCTTTCTTATTTATTGCCACTTAAAAACAAGTTTATAGCATAAACAATTGTTTATAAATTGTTTATTATTTATAAATTTAAATACTCTGATCAATTTGAAACTAAAACGGTCTCCGAAATTATGGCAATATTTCAATACCCTCAACTTTTTTACTTATCTGAATCTGCTGAATATTCTGTTACAGTAAATCCATTATAGGTTGTACCACCCTGTATATAAAGTTAATTGTCAAAATTTCAAAAAAAAAACGTTGCTGAAATCGCGGGATTCACTTGCATACTACAGTCGCACAAAAAAAAAAAAACAAAAAAATACTCTGTTGCCAGCCAGGGGGGAGACTTAATTTTCCCCCAGCACTTTCAGTTTGGCACATAACAAACTTTAAACTTAAATAACAAAAACAGACAGCTTTCCCTGCTAAAAGAAATTACAAGTGATGAATGGATGGTATATACAAAGATTACATTTTTTGAAATGTACGAAGGTTACCGTTACAGGACAATTAAATATAAACAATACAAAGCTAATAGGACTAGATCTAGTACTCGTCAAAAACCTTTTTTAAGGTTGTCGTTGACATCTCGGCACTCAAGTATGGCAACATTGAAGTTATGTTACCAGTTTGGGATGAGAAGCATGTGATAAGTTTCGTCACTACAATTAGAGGCATCATAGGCCTTGTTTTCCCAATATTCAACAATATCTCCAGGTGAGATAGTAAGATTAAAGGATTGGGAATCTTAATAATTAGAATTATATCGGCCAGTTTCGTTCCCATTGATGCTATACAGGTAGCCTGAAACTTTACTTTGAAAACTTTCAGCAAGGTCAAGCCAGCAGAGCATAACTCGCTCCAATGTCTCTTTCATCTGATCCTGTGTGGAAATTAACTCATCACATACTTCCAATTGTGTATATGTATTTTTGTCGTGAAATCAAAGTAATATGTAAGGGCAACCCTTCCGTGGCATTGTCACCACTACATTTTGATTAGGAAATGAGAACGCTTCTTACATACTTTTGGGTATCTCGAGGGCGTCGGAAACAATGCACCTGTGTGATTGTTTTTTATCGTTTGCCTGAAATTTTATGTTGCCTTCTTCGTTGTATGCGGGTTTTCGTCTCGACTTCTCAATTCATGTCCGTGGCGAATCCGTAGACTTCGAGCACCCGTATTTCGAAATCACCGCTTGGACAGAGCGGTGGGTTATTGAATGTCGCGCAGTGATCAGTTTTTCCGTATCTGATATTTTCATCCATCCATATAGCTTGGCCTTCACTAAAATTGATAATAAAAAACGGTTTTTATTCAATCGAAATTTGATAATAAATGCATTAAACAATATGGAAACACAACAGTAACCAATTCGCCATCTTTGGTCATAGACCGACATTTGCAACTAACTACCAACCTAAGATTGTTTTGTTCTTTTGAAATAAACCACAACACACTTAACTTTTATTGTTATCCTAGAGTTGCTGAACACCTTTTTAAACTACAGGCTGTGTATTTAATAATTATAAAAAATTGAAACACTTGCTCTCTTCCGAACTGTAAGGGGAATTGTAAAAATGGAATAAAAGTGGCAAGTTGCTCATTCAGGGATTCCAGCGTTGCAAAAAAAAACACAAAGGTAAGTTTTACTGAAATAGTAGGGCCCCATAGAATCTAACCTAAATACTACGAGACGGGCTAGCAAGAGTTACAGCCTGTACCTACTGTTGAATCAACAGGAAAAGCATCAACAACCAAGTTAAAAACTACTGGTTTGACAAAATAAATATTAACTAAAAGTTCAGATTTTCACGAAATTATATATTTTGACATGACAATTGTCTTTATCAAATGTAACATTTACAAACTACCTGCTACTGTACATACCAAAAACGACAATAAAACCTTAATTAATGTTGTTGTGAGAATTTAAGTTTAATAATGGGGAGGTATTTAAATCTAATTCATCATTAAACAATACATTTAATTTTCTACTTTTTGTCGCTGTGTGTAAAATATCAAAATTGTCGTCAAAAATGTGTTTTTCTTTGTACTGTTTGCTAGATTATAATTATGCTACACACTTAAACACAGAAAAATACATTTTTGACGACAATTTTGATATTTTACGTACAGCCACAAAAAGTAGAAAATTAAATTTATTGGAAGCCATGGAGATTAACAAAACGAGACATTCAAATGTATTAAACTGAAATTCTCACAACATTAATTAAGGTTTTATTGTCATTTTTCGGTATATATACTAGCAGGTAGTGTGTAAATATTACATTTGATAGACGTGTTATTATCGAAAAATTTCTTGAAAACCTGAACTTTTAGTTCTTATTTATTTTGTTAAATGTAAAAAAAAATTGTAAAAGCCAACTCAGCGCAACTACTGGTTTGATCAAAAGTAGTTGTTATTGTTTGCTCTCTACCGCAAAAAAAAAAGATTACTTAATTAAGGTTTTAATAAAGCTGACTTGTAATATTCTGCTAAAGAATAATATTAAAAAATTTAATGATAAATTCTCTATGAAAACAATGGCACTTTCGAATGATTCTTAATATTAAATTTAATACTACTTAATCCTAATAAAATAATTTTTATATCAAGAATGGGTACCAAAATATGTTTTTCAGTCTTCTTCTTTAACTATTCTACATATTCGGGCTATATTTTAAACATAAACATTTGTTAATGTGATGACTCGGGCTTAATCGTTTCACGGCCTTGTGGATGAGGCGACTTTTCGTTTTAGTTCCACATCTTACCAAAGCTCTTTTCGATTGCCGTCGTGACGTCACTCAAGCAAGCACGGAAGTGTGATTGAATAGAACCACGACGCCATTAGGGACGATTGACGGGAATCAGTCAAATCAGTTGTGGGTCCCGGTACAATCGATACAACTCACAACACAAAGCACGGTTTCTAACCTCAAAGTGCAGCAGATGGCAGTCCGCTGATACCACTTTCTCAAAACGGTTTTTCTTTTGGATTTACTGTTTGTGACGTCACGTGTAGAAGCTACTGGGATAGAGGAACGAAGACGCCTGCGGTCTTTCCTGTGCATGCAATTGCTTGATGATGGAGAGAGACCGGCCCGTTTAAACCCAGAATAATGTGTCATTTGACGTTAAAAGAAGTATTGAAAATTGTTGTTTTGTTACTATTTCTTTCGGATTGTCTGATGTTTCTGGGTAGTGTGTTGCTGGCGAATGTCCTTATTTTCCCACCATGGGAATTGCTCTGGTGGAACAAACTCTAGCTAAAATTTAACATCGTTGTACAAATAGACGTTTACCAACCGATACGATCTTTTAATTCTGATTGCTGTAAATATTGCCAGTCTTAGTGGTTTCATTTCCTTTCCTTTCCTTACAGAGTAAATTTATTGGGGAAATCACCTTTCTCTTTGCAAAGTCCACTAAGTTGATAGTTTTTTGTGTTTTGGAATTCGGATATACATAAAAATCAAATACATTAAAATTTTCAGCCTTGGATTTTGGCATGTTCAGCTGATTCTTAGCAAAACATTGCAACTTTTGATAGTGAGGAAATATTTTTTTAAGCATCCAATTCGGAACAGCGCACAGTATTCGAAAATGGGGGCTATTCTAGAATTAAATCAGTCACAGCCGTAAATGTGGTTTAAAAAAAAAGCACCAAACACCTTCAAACTTCATTTTTTGAATTTTATAAAATGCTTAACACTCAAAGCTGATAAACAAAACAGTGCACTATTTTGAGGAGTCCATGGGAAGCAATACTCAAAAACACATTTGAATTTGGTGTCCAGCACTTTATTTCAAAACTAAGGAATTTCAAAAATAATTACCCTCCGCCAATGGTGATCATTTTGCTATCGGCGGCCATAAACAGTTCGGCGCCGTGGGTAACGTTTCGATCCCCGTCCATCCCTACCCAGGGATACTTGGCGCGTTCCGGGTAGAGTGAAAACAGGAAGGTTTCGCCTGTACCGAAGTAAGCCTGCCTGTTGCCCCGATCATCTTTTTGGTTACGTTCGCACCAACGCGATGAGCAATAAGCACCAAATACCTGTAAATATACAATAGTAATCGAGTAAAAGATAAATTCCCGTATTAACTTCAGGATAATCATATTTCTAAGTGCAGTGCAAAACTAGGTGACTTTCAAAATAGGCTTCAAAACTTTTAAAACCAAATGTCTAATTTTAACAATTTCTTGCAGTTGAATTTGAATCGAATTGAACTTTTACAATTACTATAGAAATATATATAACAGTATTCTTGTTTTTCCCTTGTCCGATTATATAAATGGGTGAATACGGCACTCTAAATGAATTACTTCATTGATCGATATAATTGTTTTACTAAAATCATGATCGTCATAATATTTAATAACATTTTCTTTAAATATTTGTAAAAAAAATTGTTACAAATTTGAAATAAAAATATATTGAAATTGATGTATTTAGATTCAAAATGTTTAAGTCGCTTCGAAAGTTTTGAAAAAATATATTATCAGAAAATAGCAGTGTGTATTTTTTCAGGCTTATTGCTTTAAAAAAGACTTAAAATGGACAAGTGTGGATTAACCAAAATATGTATATTTAACTAATACCTAATACACAGCAAACGGCTAAAATATGGAACAAATTCATGTAATAATCAGGTATTGGATTTGCGGTAAACAGTATATATACAGGGAGAGTCAAAAAGTATATATCGATCATTTTTCCACAGGCTACTGTAATACAATTTACAAATCTTCTGGATTCCTCTTGCGTCGTTTTTTATGAACTGAACTGCGATTCAGTTAAACTCTGAACAAGGCAACAGGATGATTGGCGGAGCGTCAGCAAATTCGATTAATCAACAATCCATGCAGGAGGAATCCAGAACATTTGTAAACAGTATTACAGTTTCAATTAAACTCTGAAGAAGTCAACAAGATGATTGGCGAAACGTCGGTGTCAGCAACCGATGCAGGAGGAATCCAGAAAATTTGTAAATAGTAGCATATATCTATACCAGGTCCCTTTTGTTAATGGAACATATTTTTTTTTAATACATTTTCGAATTCTCTGCCAAATTGCACGCATAATTCATGTAGAATACCCGACAAATAAGAGTAAAAGAATAAACAAAATGAAATGAGGAGGTCAATAACAGTAAAGTTAAATTAAATTCCATCATATAATTGAAATTTTTATTTTTATTGAATATGGACAGAAAACGAGAACTTAAGAAAATATTTTTAACGCAAAATTTCCAGAACGACCCATCACAAGACCCACAGTAAACGAAATTGAGAGAAAATTTATAGAAATAGGGCATGCATCTAAAAGATCTTCTATTGCCAGTTAGAAGTTGAGGATAATCAACATCCTGCATTTTCTAAGTTCTCGTTTCGTCTCCACATCCAATATATTTTTTTTTGCTTTACTGGCAGAAATGTAATTGTGACAATTTAAATACTTTACTAGTACTACCTATCTATTCATTTCAAAATTAAATTTCTGTTTTCTAATAAAAAGTCGGAGATATGTATATGAATGAAATATGTCACAGAATTCGAAAATGGATTTTAAAACAATTGTGTTCCATTAAAAAAATGAACTTGGCATGCATTTATCTACTTTTTAAACAAAGGTGTAAATTTTAAAAAATTATGATGAACGTGTACGAACATTTTTCTTCAAATCCAATACATGATTTTTAAATGAATTAGTTCCACATTTTAGCCGTTCACTGTATAATAGCTGCGTGAGTTACCATTTATGCATAAAACCAACGCACACGCAACACAAAAATTTACACTTTGAAAAAATATTTACTAATTAAAGCCAGCGGTTGTCGCCATTAAAAAAAATCAGAATATATCACAACCCTCTAGCAAACGATTTGCTCTCAAAACCCCAAAAAAATTACACTTACATGCCATTAGTATTAACGTGTATGACAAAGAAAACAATCCCCATTACTACCGGTCCCCCTCCAAATAAAGTTTGCCTCAAAAAATCAGTGGCGGCGACTTGGGAACTACCAAGATCTAATTTTACGAAACGCAACGTCTACTTGCCTCATTGTTACATGTCTTAATCATCAGAAGGGTGGGTTCATGTTGTTCCACCCTGACGTAGAACGTAGTCAGCGAGCATCCATGCTCCTCCGTGGTATAGAGAAGGATCGGCTGATACATCGTGATACGGACCGGCAGCCACGACCATAACGTTAGCAACTGCAGATAATATATCAAAACGGATGTTGTTTAAACGTCAAACGTGTGCGATTTCCAAGTGAGTGCGGGGTGGATGAATTGTAATTGACACAAACCTATTTGCAACAATACCGTAATTTCATTTGAGGATCTACAATGGAAGAAATACTTTTTGATTATCGGAGTTTCTTTCCTTCAAGTTAGTTAGTTGGATAATGCACGGATACGTAGATAAAACGGTATCCGGTATTTGTTCGTACTTCATCGTATTGTTGCAATTAAATTAATGTCATTATAGGACAACCAAAGCGTGTAATTGTAATAAATGCAATAACGTGAACTCGAATCGAATCCCCCTTTTAACAAAACAAAATCGAAACACGATCAGGACCATTTTTAATCGTCAAGCGGCGAATATTTTTTCGAAACCGTCGATTCGGATTAAAATGATCTTGGATGTTATTCGAATGCAAATAAAAATTATAGCCTATTTTACGCAAATTGCTGCATTGTGCCATACAATAAACTGGGCATGCCATGCGAAAACGACTAAACCACTATTCGTGCATTACAATGCAGGATGCCAGTCGAAATAAGTCGCCGGTACAAACCTTCACGTGTTAACACAAACGTGACGTCACAAATGATAAACCCGATGGGATCGAAAAAAAAAATAAAATAAAAATTGCAGTGCAGCTCTATTCTTAGGAAGTATGTTTTGCGATAAATTAAATACATCTATATCCCAGCACACTTTGGCCAATGAGTTATTGGAATCTGGAATCGAAGTATCTTTTTTTTTTTCAAGTTATATCGGTGGTCAGATTGCCTTATGAGATATTTCACATTATATCATATTTTATTGAAGCATCTATTATTGGCAAAAGAAATATACTTCTTTGCTGCCGACCAGGGGACTTTTTCAAAGGCATGATGATTTTCAAAATTTATAAGCAGAAAATATAAAAACTGGAAATTAGGGTATGAATAAATAAAAAATAAATAAATAAATAAAAAATTTAAAACAACGCAATTTTGTACTGAAAAAATGTTTCAGGGTGAATGAAAAAAAAAAGTTAAAAAAGTTGGTCCGATTTTTTTCAAAATTGGGACATTTGTAGCAAATCGAAAAGAAATCAACTTTTTCCAACAAAATTTGTCGATATTTTGTTTAAAAACGTTCATAAATTCATTTTATTTATATCAACTCATTAATAAAAAAGTCAAATTCTTCAGAATGACATCTTTAGCAGACCAGAAGCGTCTCCCAGGGACCGAAAACAACAAGTGCAATACGGAAGCGAAATCACTATCGTAGTCAATTGTTTTTGGACCAAAAACCTACTGGTTCATATTAAACAGTGGATATTTACCCAATAATAAAACAAAATATCAAAAAGCTTTTCGGAGAACCTTGACAAATAATATCAACACCGTGTGGTAAAAATAAGAATTAGAGAAAAAAATATCTTACACCTTCATGGACAATATCCACAATAGGTTTTGTGCAGCAATAAAAAAATAAAGCTTTTCAAAGAGTGAAATCTTTATAGGTTCTAAATATGAAGTGCCACAATAAAATATAGGATAAGGGGATACCATTTTTCTGGATCTGGAATGAAGATCTTCGTCGTCAAATACGGGTCGGGAAAATGGGAACCACTTGGCAAGGTACAAGTATGAAGGACTCTAAAACGGAACAAAACAACGTGTATCGTTTTTGTCACACAATAAACAACGCTTTTCTCTTGACTGGTGACGTATTTCCGCTAGAACTAAAAAATCACAACAAATTTTACATGCAAAAGATATCCGTTACCGATACCAATGTATAATAAATATGACTTACACGAGCTTGGATCCAACTGTACTTTACAAGCGACTGTATAATATTAAGCGAAGCAGAAGTTTATAGAGCTACAAAAATCGGTGAATAAAAGCCAACAAGTGATCGACATAAAAGGCTAATAAAAAATTCCCTCTATAGAGCTAAATCGAATAGTTACGAAATGAGGGCGTAAGGTTCGGAAGATTTCTTTTAGTACACACAATATTTGAACGCACTTATTGTTTCGTTTTACAGATAACCTATCAGTAGCTAACAACACGCAACTGTCAATTATTATATCGATAGCATTAAATTGTTAGCGGTTCTTTGAATATACACAGGCTTTCATACTTTCGGTATAGTGTTGCAATTTCAATACACCGGTGTCATTCTGTTTGTTAAAGATATTTTCTATAAGCTTATAAGACTGCAAAACGAAAGTAGCTTCGTTTATATTAACAGGTGTGATCATTTTCTTGCCAATTTTCCATTAAAAGTTGAGCATCCCGCTTTTTAGATAAATTATGACGAGTCTTTTGGCAACACTGCGATTGCAATTTTGAATTCATGATATTTTGGTCTTTTAACAATGCAAAAAATCATTTTTTAACTAGCAAAACGATTAACACAAATTACACATCAATTAATGTTAATATTAATTTCGGCATACACCGATGAGCATATCTCTCTTTTTTTTTAATTAACAATGTACTTAAATATCGAAAATCAAATGCTGTAAAAAAATTGAAAGCCAGTTAGGAATGCAAAAACGGATACCAAAAAAATATGTACGCAGTCCTGCTATACCCAATAGTAGAACTAAGAAAAAATCTAAATGAGTGTCCCAGTTTTTATCAGTCAAATTAAAGTGGCTCTCCTGAAAAAGGATGGAAGATGTTTGAATACAATTTCGAACAGTAAATTTGCCTTAAATAAATTACCGATTTTACCGATACGTGAAAACTGGGACACACTGGAATATATGTAGAACGCGAAATAAATATGTGCAATTATTGTACCCAATTTACACAAAACAAAATGGCATTTCAGTATTTACCAACACAAAATACCTACGTTACTCGTTAACATCAAACTTACATCCTGCTGGTCCAGGATGCACGAGTTGACGTTCTGTATGGGATAGATACCCATGGAGAGCGTACGCGGGCCCGGCGAATGGGCTCCCTTATTCGTTAGCAGCGGGAAAAAAGAGGCACAAACGACAAGATAACGCAGCTGCTCGGTGTAGAGGACACAATATCGGGACCGTAGCCTCACAGAATATCTGGTAGGTACTTTACGCGGAGGAACGAGGAAAATCGAAAATTCAAATTGTTTTGAAATGGTACGTTTCAAAATTTGTGAAAAATAAACGAAGAAAATAAATTTCAAGTAGCGTCGGGGTCCTTTATGAAATTCGTAGTAATCTTAACATTTTTAAAAATAAGTCTAGGATATTAATTTATGAATGCATAAGGTGCCCGATATTCTTTTCTCGCGACCCGAAACGATTTTAAAAACGAAAGTTTATTAGGCGGAATTTTTAGATTATTCACTTTTGGATTATACAGGGTGTTCCAATTCTCAGGTATCGACATCAACATACTCGTTGTATTGCATTTCGGATTTAGTGATAAATATGTATGATTAGACTACTATTTAGCATATTAAGAAAATCTCGTGAAATAGTACGTACATACGAACAAGACTCAGTTTCAATGATTTTTCGTAATTTTCGAGTCCGAGACTGAAATTTGTAAATGCCAAGATCTCATTTTTTAAAATTGCACGCTTTGCATACTATATCTTTATAGTAGAACTCTCATACATATTTTTTTGGGTATTCTATTTAAAAAATAATGTAACACACTAATCATTGCATTGGTGGAAAAAACCAAATCAAAAATGTTTTATAAGACAAAAAAATATAATTATAATGTAAACTGAAATAAATACCCTGTATAATATTTTTAAGATTGCAAATTACAGTACCAATTTGATTAAGATAATTAGGTCGGTCTTTTGTTGTGTGTTGTGTCACATTTGTGTTTAACACTAAATCCAAAATACGATAAAATATTTTATTTAAAGTTTGAACCTTGATGAAGTATTGGGGCAAACTGTATAATCCAAAAGTGAATAATCTAAAAATTTACTTAAATACAAAGAACTTTAATAATGTAAAATACACTACAGTGCAGGACTTATCCAACGATATCAAATAAAAGTTTGCTTCCTGTAAAAGTCAAGAGATCAAGCAGCAACCAACAAAACATACGGATTAAATATGCAATTTTTCTTGACGTGTAAAACAAAACCGTATACTCAGTACGTAGCAAGAACCGTGTCCCGATATTGATGTCTTTATATTCCAGAAGGTATAAATACATAGTTGCCGTGCATATCGAATAAAATATCAAGTTCTTGCAAGTAATATTGAATAGATAAAGGAAATTCGCATACTGGTTTGCGATCTTAGTTATACGTGTGCTATATACATATACGTAGTTTTCATATTTTGTTACCTACTTGGTTCATAATAATCCAGCAAAACTTCAAGAAACAAACACACCTTTACTGCACAGCCATTCCGCCAGACGATAACAAGGTTGATTTTTAATGACATCCACTTAGTTAAAACGAAAACCAGAATTTTATAATATTCATTAATTTTTTTCGAATATAACACCAATAGGTATATTTATCTACGTTTCACTATGTGCGCAATGATATTGAGTTAGTGGGGAATACGATGTTTTTAATTCACATAGAAAAGGTTTACAGTTGTTTACGTTTTACCGGTATACGATACGTATATTCTTTGAACATTTATGCATATTTATAATATTGAATTTACAGCGTGTCCTAAAATTTGATACATAAACTAAACTTTTTTAATAAGTTTACTGCACTTGCTATCAACATCTTTTATTGGATTTTTTTTAATATAAATTGCTTAATATACTACAAAAATTTAGTTACTCAAAATAAGTTTGTGTGTGTGTTATATAGAATAGAATAGAACTAAACTTTATTAACCAATTAGAAAAGTTATACAGCAACAATTCGTTAAAAATAACAAAACGCTGAGGAAATAATACAGAGATGTAACTAAATAACTATTATATTACTCGCAAATACAGACTACGCAAAATATAAGATTTCATTCCAGAGTTGTATGCCTAAATAGATCCAAGTATTCGTCAGTGTTAAACAAGCCATTCTGGCACAAGTCACGTGATAACACATGATTAGATTAGATCGTGATTTTTGTTGTGTGTGTTTTTGTTGTGTTATTCTTTTGATTGCGAACAGAGATATTAGGAAAACGGTCACCTTTTTGCATGGCCCGCTCATAAAAGATTTAAAAAAAGCTATGCTTCATATTTGAAATAGCCATCCTAATAGAAGATGCATGGTAACTTATCAGAAATCTGTCGGAAAATCAGAAGAACAAAGACCTGCAAACAAGCCGGGAACATATCTCTAGAACTCATAAAATATGTGAATAATAAACTCTTGGGGATGATAACCATTCTCCTCAGTAAATGTATTAGCTGCCAGTCTAATCTAATTAAAACTATACGGGCATTTCAATTACCAGCACCAGCAGATTTTACGAAAAAGATTTTTTAGGGCCTTGATAGGACAGGAATATAGTGTGGTGTTCAAGAAGGCAGATCATGTATATGTTTGAAACTGATCATGGAAAAATATCTCGATGCCAACACATAACATTTATTGACCTGCAGAAGGAGTATGATAATGTCCCAGTCAAGAAACTTTGAAAAATTCTTCAAGAGATTAGCCATCACCCATAGTCAAATTACCGCCGTTGAAAACTTTTATCTAATCTCACGTTCGAAGATTAAATATCAGAGTCAACTGCCTCTAGCATGAAAAATGTTTAGCAATGGGCATCCAGTTAGGGGATACCACTTACACCACCACATTACAATTTGCAAATGATGCAATATTAATTGCAAATGAGGACGATCTTTCATACATGGCTTTGCTTCCATTGAATACGGAACTAACCAAATACCTTGGAGCCGATATATCAGATATAATACTAGATTGCCGTGAATATCTAGAAGTAGTTTTCCATAACAATGGAACAAACGCAAGGAAGTCAGAGCTAAAATTAACCAAGTTAGAAGGAAGATCGCCTGCCTCAACAGCATATTCTGCTCAAAACAACTAGGGAAAAACCAAAATACCTGATATAATAACACAATGATAAAAAACAGCCTTCTATATAGGTCAGAAACGTCTCAACTTTCATAAGAAAACAAAAGAAGAGTTTATGCTGATAAATGGAGGTAATCAGATGGTCCTTAGGAGTATCTCGCTTAAAAAAGAAAATAAACGAAGAAGTAAGAGGATCCACTAATTCAAGAGTCTCTAGAATATCCAAAAAAAGGAATGGAATGGACACCTTCTTTTAGAAGAAGACATGAGCGGAAGGAATGAAAAAACCCCACACACCTGAGAGAAGAACAATGCGACAATTTAAAGGCAACATATTATAGTACAAAAAAATACAAGGTATATCCAAAATTCGTGCGATTCACACTAGTTTTCACCTTTTCGATGAGTTAACGCATTACCGAGCTGCAGCGGGTTTTTGAAAATCACTAAAAATCCAAGTGAGCTGTTTGTAACCTTTCATTCCATAAAAACACCCTATCTTTATTCATAAACTGAAATATGCCGTAAAATCATCGAAAATGGGACACACTGTACGATTTGAAAGTCAGCTGACGTGCAGGTAACGTGAATAGAGAATAATGGGCCTCCAAAAAAGGAACAGTGATTAATTACCAATTACCAATTAATGACGAGATATATCCTCAAAACT